AACCGACACGCTATATTCGATAGATTATTCTATTCACATTCGAAAAAGACTTTTGCTTTCGCGGCGCGTTGCTATTTGACATTATTTAAATTACATGACATTACATAAGTAGTTCTATTAAGTCTCAGTCTATAATAGATGATTTAAGTCTCTCTGCGCGTACATACAATATGCGAGTATTCTTGCCGCGTCCGCGTTTTCCTTGGAAAAACAAACCGCGCCAAGCGCGCGGCGAGAGTCGTACAGCGAGCGCCATCTGCCGTCGCGGTACCACACTCGCGGCAACTTCAGCCCGCGGTCCGAGCGAGATCAGCTTCGCGCAGTACCCCTCGGCCGTGGCGATACGGGAAATGGCGATTCGCGAGGTTGTTTGTAGCCAGTTTTGAGTAAACACAGGCTCGCGCGCGCACTCGCAGCTCGTAGGTTAAATGTGCCCTGAACGTAATGTGATGTCGACTGTGCGCGATGGCGAGCAAAGAGATGACCGGCCATCAGCAGCAGTTCGTTGAGGAAATCGATTACAATGAGATCGAAACGGAGCAGGTAGTTCCTCTCCTGTCGTCGCCTTTTTCTCCCGATCGGGTCGTCCGTGCGCCCGCCGGGTGCCCCTTGCGCATTTAACGTCGTCTCGATCGCGAAGTCCTCCACGCCGCTCGCCCGGTACTCCTGCCGCTCCTACGGAGCCCGCGATCTCGGCAGGTTAACCTCAAACGAGGGAGAACGGTCGGTCGTACACAAGCGACTGCTCGACTGGCTTAGACTTTGACAAACTTCAAACGTTCGTTGGCTTCACGAGCGATCGACTTTTTCAGGCGATGCCTACAATGTTAAGGCTGACGGCAGAGAACGAGACCCGTAAACGCTCAAGGGTCTGCGCAGAAAGATCGCCGTAACTGTTTGTGATTTCGTCGTAAGACGCAAGTAAGTCAGTGTCGGAAGTCAACGCACAAAGAATCGCATGTCGCGAGGCGACGTACAATTCGTCGACTTGCGTAACAAGTTACAGAATCGTAAACGGTTACGACAATCTTTCTGCCCAGGCCCTTGAGCGTCTACAGATCGTTCTCTGTCATCAGCCTAATACGAATGGAATTATTGATTGTTTCGTCGTTTGATACTTGGGACGAGAGACTGGATCAGGAACGATGAAAGCTGAAAGCTTAGGTCCGGTTTCATCAACGTTGTTTAACTTCGAGCTTAGCTTAACTCCTTCTTTGTCACTTTCCGACTGTTACTTCAGACAGAGACAAACATGAATTGAACTAGCAATAAGTTAGGCAACGTTTGGTGAAACCTGGCCTGACTCTACAATGATTCCGCAGGTTAAATTAATCGGAGTTCGGTCAACTGTTTTAAAACGGAGCATGCAGTTGGATGACATTCCCTTTAAATTAATTAACAAAACGTTTTGTGTATTCGTTGTTATGTATAAGATTAGAATGTTCAGTCAAGAGCGTCACTGATTTATTGTCTTCATTTGCTCGTAGGTAGTCGGCAAGGGCTCCTTTGGAGTTGTGTGGAAAGGAAAATGGAGAGGGCAGGACGTCGCAGTAAAACACATAAACTCGGAAGGGGAGAAGAAAGCCTTCACTGTGGAAGTGCGGCAGCTGTCCCGAGTCGCTCATCCCAACATTGTTAAATTGTACGGGGCGTCTACTAGAAATCCAGTGTGCCTGGTGATGGAATACGCGGAAGGTGGATCGTTATATAATGGTAATGTCTGAGAAGAGAAGCCATTTTATCCAATTCTGAACAAATCGCGTTAAGACTCTACGTTTGTTCGTGCAGTGCTACATTGCAATCCTCAGCCGCACTACACCATCAGTCACGCTATGAGTTGGACTCTCCAGTGCGCGCGTGGTGTCGCCTATCTTCACAACATGAAGCCGAAACCGCTGATACATAGGTAAAGGGAGCGTCGATACGCCACCGATTATTGTGCCTTTCCGTGTCCCGAGTCGAGAAGTAAATTTAATGAATTTGATATCCTCCACAGAGACCTAAAGCCGCCCAATCTGTTGCTAGTTATGGGTGGGCAGATGCTTAAAATCTGTGACTTCGGCACAGCCTGTGACTTAAATACATACATGACTAATAATAAAGGCTCGGCCGCGTGGATGGCACCAGAAGTGTTTGAAGGATCTAGGTATACAGAGAAGTGCGATGTATTTAGCTGGGGTATCATTTTGTGGGAGGTTTTGACACGCAAAAAACCCTTTGATGATATTGGTGCTTCAGCCTATAGGATAATGTGGGCTGTTCATATAGGACAAAGGCCTCCTTTAATAGAAGGATGCCCGAAACCAATTGAGAGTCTTATGACCAGGTGAGATTTATGCAAGAGAACACCGTGACCGATAACTTGTCGCGTTGTATCGTATAAATCTATATCTGTTATTTGTATTCATGGATAGATTTGTAATTTACGAATGATAGGCGGACAATCGTGCAAAATACTTACTCAAGTATATCTTACATCTGCTGTTTTTCTCGACAGATGTTGGCAGAAAGCACCTGAAGAAAGACCGTCTATGGACGAGATAGTAAGGATAATGACTGAGCTATCGGAATTTTTCAGTAGCCATTTAGAACCCGTTGAATATTCTTTAAGTATGTAAATTGATTTACTGCTAAACGTTATATCGTTACAAACGCCATTTTGCGCATATATAAAGATATCGTATGTGCATTGTAGGTAGTGAAGATGATGTAGAAGATGAAAACGAAACTTCGAAGGAAGGTACGTTAGATATAGTCAGTACGTTCGAGTTTGGTATGAACGGTTCCGTTGCAAATGGCACTATTCGTACAATTCCAAAGCCTGTAGAAAATACTAACGAATGCCGCAATGAAGAGAGTTCATCGCCCTTTGCATTATCTCGTACAACACCGGCCGGCGACGGATCGACGAAATTATCGCCGCGGCAAAACAATTTAGGATTTCAACGAATACAGGACGAGGTTCCAGTGTTGAATAATTTTCATGGGAGTGCGGACAGCAATTTAGAACACGTTAAATCGTCGATTTTGCAAAATGCAACGCCGTCGACGCCACATGATGGCAAGACCGCCGCATTACAAAGCAAAAACTACAATTTCGCTCCGTTGCACGTGGAATGCGATCCGGTTAGTAATTCTTTCGTTCGTGTACATTTTGAATATTTCTGTACAGTTTAGTTTATACGTTTCTATTTTGTACGTCTTTTTTACATAGTAACTATCCTTTTCTTCGATTCTTTTACATATCTCTATTTATATTATTGAATTCGTAATGTAAAGATATTTGTCTCTATTATAAGTAATTTTTCTAACGTTGCTTTTGTTATCTCGTAGAACGCCTGGGATTTGCCGAGCTCCTCTGACACATCTTGGGAAATTCCAAATAACATGGCCGGATTAGATAAAGTGGTTCAAAAAACGAAGAAAAATAACCAAGGTGAGTACAGTTTTTAACTTTGTTCGCGTGTACATGAAATACAATTTCCACATAATATTGAAATATTAATTATATAACAGAGTTATTTTTTTTAACAAAAATACTCAATAGAAAAATGAGAACCTTTAAGATAGAACGATTAAACTATAATTATTGTGCGTTACATTTTTGTTACAAATTTTTATTTAACTTTGATGCGTAATTATATAAAGTCTTTTTTTTGTTTTATTGAATTGATCTTGTTTTTTTTTGTGCGCGACAACCAAATATGATATCGTGTAGGATTACTTTGATTTTGATTTATTCACGAATAAGCAGGGGAGAGCCTTGTGGGGCTCGTACTCGAATACATACGTACATACCCGAGCCTTTCTCAGAACAAGTGCCGAAAAAAGATCGCAAGGAGGCTGTGGCACCAAACTGGCTGTCTGTGCGAGACCCGTCTCTGTCGCGTTGAAGGCATCGTGCCAGGAACATTAGCGCAAGAATTATCTGTTTTATGCCTTATGTGGCAATCAATACGCGAACTGGCTGTACAATCGCATTGCGTCATCTTGCCGGAAATATGGAAAGCAGATTGAAAAAACGATATCGAGCAAATCTAAATTTATACATATTTATAATATGTAACGATGTTATGTTATATAACATAATATCGTTATAAACATTTTATATATAAATACGTTCATTTATTTATCTATTCCGGAAATCGACTGATTCATATAATGCATGCGATGCTATAATATACGTGGCATGTAAAATACTATGTATTGTCAAATTCGTACCATAAATATCACAAAAAACGTGATTCGCGATATGGTAATTGATCAATGATAGGAAAGGAAATATCTTTCCTATCATTCATTTCCCAGTAAACATCGAGCATCAGTTACGTTGCATTTATGTTAGGATTTCTCCCTCAACAATGTAAATGTAATATAACACATTGTTGAGGGAGAAATTCTAACATAAATGCAACGTAACTGATGCTCGGCGTTTGCTGGGTTCCTATCATTGATTCGTCATCCGGATTTTTCGGCACCATTACAAAAAAGGCAGACGGCGTGACTAATATGCCGGATAATGTGAAACATTTTAATGGACACAATGCCTCGAGCGAACTGACACGGGCACGCATTTTGAGCTTACAGAGTAGCGCTTTGTGGTACACGGAGTAGATTATTTTCGGCCTAGAATACTAAAGCACCGCGCGCTGACTCACCGGGCGCCTTCCTCGTCTTCGTCTGCGTCGAGACTAACGCACGTTGCTCATAATGCGTATCTACGCGCGCGATTCGTCGTAATCATTAGCTCAACGATAATTATTCTGTTTACGCAATCATCCGGATCGTTTAACGTTTAACGTTACGATGCATTTTTTCGCCTTTCTCGATCATGTATCTATGTCGGCACAGATTTCTGCGTTATAATCTTAAATTTTGCGCATTGTGAAGCTTGTAAAGATTCATGTGCACTGCCGTATGTGTACAAAAGTATCTTCTTGCACAGGATCGTGCATATTTAGCGACAGCCGTACAAGTAATGTAATCGCGGTCGATCCCGAGCCGCGATCGGCGGAGAGAAGGGACGAGTTATGAGCTCGGCATGCTATATTCACATCGAGGGTTCGTCGATCGGCGGAGTTCGCCGGTGGTGTACCCTGGCAAAGGGCCCGTGTAGCCGCAATAGTCGCCGCGATGTGCGCGTGCACTAAATTTAACTGACGACTAATCGGTAGGACGTGTGACTCGCTTTTGATTGGCACGTTGCGACGACGAAGAAGAGGACCGACCATCGCGCCAACGGCGAGGGAAACGAAAGAACGTTGGGGAGGAAGAGAGAGAGGGAGGAAGAAGATAAGACGATACGTGGGAAAATGACGCGGAGGAGGATGACGAGGACGACCGCGGGACGAATAAAAAAGAAGAGAGAAGAGAAATGAGGCGGCGAGATTCTCTCGAGGATGAATCAAGCCGCGGAGCGCGTTTTGTTCTTGGCTCGCATATACGCTCCGCGACGTTCCTCGGCTTGGCCCAGGGTGGGGGGTATTTAGAAGCAGGTGTGGCTGAGTCAGCATCCCCAATATAGACGTGCGTTTGTTTAGTAGAGAGCCGACTCCCTACGGAGGAGCACCTCCCGCCGATCGCAGGTCGCCAAGCGCGCAATACGAGCTCGATTTTATCGAGGGCACATCGATCGAATCCGACCGGGGAATTGATATATCTCTTTAACACGGCCATTCCCGGAGCATTCCACTGCAAGGAGCCGTTCGCGGTGACTACGAGGGTTCAGCCGTCCCCAGCGGGACTCCCGACATCGCCGTTGCGCTACTCCGTCACGCCGCCCCCGAGGCTGCCACCTTGCCGCCTAGGACGGGGACTCCCAGGTCCGATCGCGAGGCACCGAACGGAGGAATTATGCCGGAGGATAATCGTGGACGTTAATCGCCGTCGTCGTCGTCGTTGTCCAAGTAACTGCGGCTCGCGCGAGAGCGGCGGCTGCTAGATGATCGACATGTGCGACGACTACCCGGAGATCGTCGGCACCGACACTCTCAAGCGCTGCTGGGTCCTACTGCGTTAGTACATATTCATCGGGTTCTCTAGGCGCTGCCGGTGCTCGAGGCATATTTAGAATTAAGGGGAATCACGTTTCCGGACGACTAGCGAGGCCGGAAGCGCGCGCGTTTGATGAAGCGACTCTAGAATCGTCACGGGCGAGTCATTTGCCGGCGCAGACTTGTAATATTCTCGAGATATACTTAGATTTACGTTTGTACACGTAGGATTATAATAATGGGTGTTTCGTTGCAGCCGGATACGATGATAGTCTCGCCTTTGTCAACGTCTGTGATAAAATGTTGGGATGTCGCAGGTAGCAGCACCACGAGCGAAGACCTGGGCAACGTTTGTCGCCTACTGGATGCCGACCTGAGGCCTCTCACGCCCGACGACACGTGCAAGCTCTCGCGAGAGATCTTCGAGGAGCACAAGCAGATAGCCGAGGAGTACCTTAGGGTCCAGACGGAGATAGCGCTGTTGAGCCAGCACAAGAACGAGATGCTGAAGAATCTGAGCCATGACAGCCTCCGGCAGCAGCAGGAGTTACGGAAGCTGGAGGATGAGAAGGTTCTTTTTTTTTATTGCTGTTTGTACTAATTCCACGCTGATTCGCGACGCTGGAGCTAGTTGAAGGACGATTTCTCGACGACAATGTAACCCGAAAAGAATCCTCAAGCTTGGACAGCCTTCAACGTCGATAATTATTGTGATTCACTTTCAGGAGTCACTGTTGAAACTGTGTTACAACCTGACGCGACAACTGCAAATCATGAAGGACCAGAGGGGGGCGTTGACGGGTGCCGCTGCCGCGTCGACGATAGGGCCCGCCGTTTCGGGGAACAACGGCTGGGTGGTGGTACCTCACCGTCAAGACCCGTCGAGGCTTTCTTGAGACGCCGCGACTTGACATGTTCGAGGATCTCGACGAAAAGTGTACTTACGCGACGTTGCGCGATCCCGACGGCCGGTCGGTAATGTGCAACGCGGATGGAATCGCGTTAAGATTCCAATCCAATTTTGTACGGATGCGAATCAACGCCGCGTCGCTACTGGAGCATGTGACTCAGAGTAGTCGCCTATAGCGGAAGATCGTTTCCGACCCGATCTTACCGAGCGCGGCAATCATACAATTGACCTCTGTTTTTTTTTCCGCCATATGAAAAGCGCAACTTCAAGCACGCACTTACAGACACGCCTTCCGTTAGGTCCTTTTTCGCAGTCCTCCTTTGTCTTCTACGCATTCTCGTTTGCGGCGCGAGATTTAATAGAACGGAGTAAATGTGCACGCACACCTACGTACACCTACACACCTCTCAAGCGCTGCAGTATTATTAAGGATGGTATAGAAGATTTTTTTCGACTGCAAAGCCTCAAAGGTTTTATTAACAATAAATTGCAATCTAGTCCTTTCGATTCGTGTTTCATCGAATCATGCGTTTGCATTTCGACGTATCAAATGTACATTGTGTGATATAATACGCAGCTTTTATCATTTAACTCTGTCAATGGAAAATATTTTATGCACTTACTTTTTATACGTAGGAATGTCTCAGCCCTATCGTAATATTCATCAGTGGTAGATTCCTGAGATTTTTTTCAGACGAAAAATTCGGATATTAAAATGCCGAGACGAATAAGAGGTTTTAAACGAGAAGTGTTTAAAGTTGAATTGCCCAAAATTCGCACGCCCAGGCATGGCGTGGTAAAAATTCTTTTCAAGCACCAATGTCGAATGATACGATCTATACAGTTCTGTATACTTTTATTATTATATATTCGACAGTCTAATCGAATTGATCATGTATCAGAGATACAATCCTGTTACCTTTAGTCGATTACGCAAGGTATTAAAATATGTTTAATTCCTCGCTTTGCTAATATGTGATTGTCTGTGTAAATAACTATTTTACGTCTCGCCTAACTGTGAGCTTGACTTCTCTCCGCAACGACAGGTCTAACAAGATAAAGACATTATTTCAGTCAGTGCCTTAATCTCGTGTATACAGGAGCATTGTAGTATTTCTATTTGGATTGTCGAGCGCGAGACAATATGATATGCAAAACAAATTGGCGCGAGGCGGCCGTTTTGAAAATATTTTAAACGGTAATGGCGCATGAAGCGCTCGTTAAATTAAAGTATTGAAAATGATAAAAGCTCGCGCGTCGCGTCGACGATTGGCAGCGACTGGAGGCTCGCAGCTAACGTTTCTGTTCCTATGTTAAGCATACTGTAACAAGAGGCTGAATCCTTGTGTATTGCCTCGAAAGCGGCAACGAACAATCCAATAATTGTACGGTCTGCGAAAGTTTCTCGACGGATTTTCTCCCGCGAGTCTGCGATGCGAAACTCTTGTTTAAACATGCGAAACTGTAATATATAATTGTAAATACAACTCTGAAAGCTGCCGTGAGATTTACTGGCGTGTTCAAGATCTTTTATCAAGCGTTCCCGGAGCGCGGAGTCGCTAGCGTCAGTGAATTTGGAGGAACGTCTCGCGTGAACGTGTGCTCTTGACGGGTAATTTCCAAGATCGATGGAGGGCTAACGGCTTAATAGCGGCGACGTTGCTATGCGGGCAACTATGGAGAATCCGATCTGCGTCGCGCGTCGCACTCGCTTTTTCGCAAACAGCGGGGTGTCGAGCCTACATGCCTGTGCATTCGCGCGTATTGTAACGATCTGGGTTTTTTTTTCTACGGCTCAACGTATCCCACGCCAGGAAGACACGAAACGAGTTCCGCGCGCAGAACGAGGCTCCGGTGGAACTGGAATGTCGCCGACGGGGAAGATACACGGCGCGGAATCAATAAGCTCGGCTCCCAGTCATTCTCGCGCTTCGATATCTCGACGGAGGGAAAGCACGGAGAGATAGAAAGGAAATAGGACGCGACCGGTTAACCGGGGAGGGTGGAGAAAGCAGGAAAACTGCGAGGGCGGATAGATGAATGGGAAGAGGGGCGGGGGAGGGGGGGGGGAGGATGCGAGGGGTGAGCATATACGTGGGCGTACGGTGGCTGGACGAGGACGATGCTCGAGACTATGCAGTTGATTCCTGATTTACCGAGAACAAGGGAAGAGGATGAAAAACGGGGGAGGACAACGGGGCGCGACGGGGGCTCCGTCGGTCGAGAGGCGGAGAGAAATTGGCGAAAATATATGTACGCGCGTGCGTGAGCGGAGGGAGAGAATAAGGGGAGCGGATGGAGTGTGTGAGAGAGGGAGAACGGTGGCCAGGGGGGAAAGACGAGGAAGCGAGAGAAGCTCTGAAGAAGGGGCGGAAGATAGGCCGGAACTTCAGACGTCTACGGACCTGCCCGCGAGTCTCGCTCCCTCCCTTTAAGTTTTGCACGTTTTTCCGCGGCTATAATTTACCCCCCGTTATTAGAGACTAGGCCTTAGCCTTCGCCGCGAGAGAAAGAGAGAGAGAGAGAGAGGATTCTGATCGCGTGATCGGGATGGCCCGCGCCGCGTCCGACGATGTCAACGAGAAGAGCTACATCCTGGACGCGAGAAAGAATTTCGAGGACGTGAGTAAGCCCGTCTCCATCTCGTTCCGTTCCGCTCCGACGGCGGGGGATGTGGTCTGACCACGTCGACCGCACACGTCCGCGCTACCGTTTTCCTCTCGCTCGCGGAAGCGATCGAAATCGTCGCCGGCGAATTTAAGCGACGCGTCGGATCGTTAAGCGAGAACGCTTTGTATCTCTCGTGCGTGTCCTCCCCCTCTCGTGGTTCGCTACGCGAGGGAAACGTGCGGTAAAAATTGCGATAAGGTTTTCTTATTATTCCGGGATACAGCCGAGACATTGGAGTTTGCGATATTTCTATTCGATGTTTAAGGAAGAGAATGTCCCGATTATTCGAACACTTGGATTTACAATTTAAAATACCCCAGGCTGCCCTGAAGTGAGAGAGAAGTCTCGCAACTCGAGTGCGGTTGCTCTCGCGCGGATTAAACGTCTCGTAGCGGGGACTGCGATATCGATATGGATAAAAAAAAAAGGACCGACTGTTTGCGGCGCGAGCCCTTATTGCGAGTTTTTACACGCGCATGGAACGATTTGAAATGCACTGCGCGAGCGTTCTGCTAATTGAAGCGAAAGTAATTAATCGTCGAATTTCATAGCGACATATGCTACAACGATACGTCGCGGCTTTACAACGGAATGTAAGCGAGAACGCGTTATTCGCGCGATTTGCATTATGTAATAATTTTTCCCACGTAGGAGCAAGTCTCGCGCTCGAGGAACAAGCGAGCCTCCCGGGATTCGCCGGATGCCACGGAGCGAATAGCCGCGCGGCAACCCCGTCGCGTGATTCGCCAAGCAATTTCGCGAACGACGTGGCGGAGAATCCTCTTAGCGGCCGTAAAGAGCGTGCGAGAAAGTTACCGTATGCCGCTTTCGCCGCTTCGTTAATTCCGCTCGCTCTAATCCGCGGTTCTATGCGCAGGAAAGTCCCCGCAATGTAATCGCGCGAGCCGCACGGAGGCGGCTCCTCTCCTCGCGGCGGACGACTCCGATATCTTGCGAGATTGAAGTTTCCGTCGTCTTGAAAAGAGGAGCAGAGGGACGCGGTCTCCCAACAATTCCATCCGCGGTGAGAAATTTCCATCCGCGATGACATTTCGCCCGATACGCTCGTTTCAATCAATGCCGCCGCGATTTCTCCGGCGCGGTTCTCTCCTTCGCAAAAGAGCCGTCATATCCGGGAATGTCTATAAACGTACTCGTATGGGTGCCAGCGAACGCCCGCGAGCGACCCTAGTAGCACAGTACATTGGCTAAACATCGGCTAAACATTGGTCGAATGTTGATTATATTAGAAATGCATCGGCCGACATTGTCCAACGTAAGGCCGATATTTGGCCGTGGAACAAATGTAAATATTGTATAATGTTTATATTGCAAGTGCATTGGCCAATATTTAACAATGTAATGAAAATATTGGTCTGATATTGATACAATGTTAAACCAGTATTGCTAAATAGACACATTGGCTAAACGAGAGAAGGCGTCCATCTTACAATATATTGGGAATACTAGATTTACATTATTTCCCAATATTGCGCCAATGTATTGTGCGACGAGGGGAGGGAAAGCGCGAGCCTCAGACGAACCGTTGAGGGACGAGATGAGGAGCCTCCGTCACCCCGTCCGGTTTTCTCCCTCGGGGGAGAAGAACCGCGACGATTGTCGCCCACTGCTGACGCACTGTTTCGGAAATTTCGACAGGTCGGCAGCGTCGCGTCGGAGGAGTCCTACGATGACATGAGACAACTCGTCGGGGTAAGGATTGCGCGTTCATCAGCCGCAGAAATTGGCAATTTGGCGCCAGCTTCCTCTCCGGCCGTTTTCCCATCTCCCTCGTATTATCGGAGCGACGAGCGATTAAACGCGGCCTCGTTACGTTCTAATATGCAAAGCGAGATACCCGCGGCGAACAACAGGCGGATTAATTGTCGGGAGAAACTTGCCGAGCGGCTGATATTGGCCTATCGATTGGTCCCGCGTAACGTTGTTCTCCGGGCGTTGCACTCCTTCGCCTCGTTCAATTCGTCAATTCGACACGGCCGTTGGCCTACGACCCGGCGCACGTGCCCGCGCCATCGGTCCTCGCGCGCGAGGCGCCGAGCGCTCCGCGCTGTAAAAAGAGTTTCGTGTGAAAAGGTGTTTGCCTAAGGGCTTGAGCAGAATGGCTGTCTTATACTCTAAGACAGCCTTAAGACAATGTTTTATGTTTTAAGCCTTTGTCTTGAGGTAACGCACAATAACTGTCTTACGTCTTGTACTCATGTCCCAGACAGCACACCATGTCTAAAAGACAGCTTTAAGACGTCTTTAAGTCTAAAAGACGTCTTTATGATGTCTTTTAGATATGTGTGCTGTCTGGGGTCTTAAGACATAAGACAGTTATTGTGCGTTACCTCAAGACAAAGGCTTAAAATATAAAGCACTGTCTTAAGAGCATAAGACAGCCATTCTGTTCAGGCTCTTAGGCTGATGGCAAACAGCGATCGGTAAACGGTCAAGACTGTCTTAGTCGTAGACGTAACGCAAGGCAGAGAGAAGCGTAAGTCGTGAAAGGCTATTGTATACGACTTACGTTTGTTTTCTGCCTTTCCTTATGTGGCGTCTACAATGAGACCTTTAAGACGTAAGATTTAAGAAACTGACCAATCGCAGTCGATTATTCTCTTCGCATTCGATTGCGATAGATCACTCTCGTAAATCTTACGTGGTAAGGGTCTCATTGTAGACGCCGCATTACGACTAATTGTAAGACAGTCTCCAGCGAGAAATGTCACCCGTTAATGTCGAAACGATTCGACATCGACTGGGAAGGTTTTACTTCGCACAAATTGACGACTATGTATACGAATTGTTAACTCAAGCCCGCATCAGACTACGGATTGAGATTGAGATTAAATTGAAATTTGACCAATCGGAGTAAAGTTCACTAATCTAAAGTTTCGTGACTTTTACTCCAATTGGTCAAATTTCAATGCAATCTCAATCTCAATCCGTAGTCTGATACCGAGTGTTGCAGTTATTTTTGTTACTCGATAAGGTCCTTGAAGTTAGGGTCGAGATGCTGTAGTTGAATTAATTAAACTTGCCAGTTGGGTCGACGATAAGGAGCGCCATTTACGTGAACTAATTCCTGGCGACAATAAGAAAGAACCTTATTTCGTTTCATGTAAAATTATAGCGGCTAATATTGGGACCATTTATTATTAACCAGCTTGCTTTTAATCCCGTAATTTCACCGTCAAGTGTGAACCATTATTTACGCAGCAAAAGTAAAAAAAAAGAGCTAATTTTGGTAAAGCCACGTGAATTTATACACTTTAACGGTGTAATCGTTGCGCTCGTTATTCGCGTAATTTTACGTGCTCTTTTTACAGCGCGGTCCCTCCGCACCGCTTCGCTCCCGGTGTCGCTCCGAATTATTCCGGCTGCGGTAGCGTGTAATCGCTTTGCTCCTGCCTGCCAGCTAATTTACCAGCAGCCTGCGTATTTTTCATATTTTCCGCTTGCCCTCGCAACGGCATTTTCGCTCGCCCGTGCCATTAATATTCATCAGCATGAAACTACGCGGACGCTCGTAGAATGTTCATCAGTACGAGCTCGAATGCGCAAATGCAACGTCCAATTAACGCTTGCGTCGCGAAACTCTGTATGTACGATCGCGCCTAGCCGCGCCTATCGCCGCGTGCTAAAATCACCTGTAATAATATATATTGGTGCGTTTTGCAGGAGGAGGAGGAAGAGGAGAAGTCCGGCAAATTTAGCAGCCTGCCGCTCGCGAGTTTCAATTTCATCAACTCCATCATCGGCAGCGGCGTCATCGGTAAATGAGAAAAATGGTCCGCGGTTTCGTTACCGCGAAGTATATGTCGTAAAAAAGAAAGAGAGAAATACTAGAAGACGAAAAGAAAATGCGCTCGACATTCCGCTTGATGAGGTCGACTTGACGAGTGTAAATCTTTCAGGAATACCGTACGCTCTGCATCAAGCCGGCTTCGGCCTCGGCATCGCCCTGTTAATTTTGGTAGCGGCGTTGACCGACTACTCGTTAATTCTTATGGTGCGAAGCGGACACATCTGCGGCGAGATGAGCTATCAGGGCCTGATGCGTGCGAGTTTCGGCCGCGCCGGCTTCTACATTCTCACGGCGCTCCAGTTCGTTTACCCGTTCATAGGTACGTCAATTATCCATAGTCGGCTTTCATATCTCGACCATGTGCTGAACAACGTGAACCGCTTTTGTCGACGTTGCAGCGATGGTCTCTTACAACGTCGTCGTCGGCGACACGGTCACGAAGGTTCTGATAAGAGTGACGGGGATGGAAGAGACCAACATCCTCGCTCATCGGCAAGTCGTCGTCCTCCTGGCGACCCTCTGCATCACCATCCCGCTTTGCCTGTACAGAAACGTCGCGCGGCTAGCGAAGATCTCCTTCCTCTCCCTGGTCTGCGTCGGGTTCATCCTCGTCGCTATCTTCATCCGGATGGACACGATGTCCGCCATGGTGTAAGCGAGAATTTCACCCGCGGCTCACGGGGAAAGGTCGTTACTGTCCCCCTGTAAAGTCACTATGTGTAATCATAGGCGTGATTGATTACAGCCCGAGTCAGAAGGACAGCTGGAGGTTCGCCAATTTCCCGGGGGTCGTCCCGTCCGTCGGTATAATGGCGTTCGCCTTCATGTGCCACCACAATACCTTCCTGATTTACGGCTCGATCGAGAGAGCGACCCAGCAGAAGTGGGACGTGGTAACGCACTGGTCCCTCTTCACGTCCTTCCTGATCGCCGCGGCCTTCGGCGTCGTCGGCTACGCGACCTTCACGTCGTACGTTCAGGGCGACCTCATGGAGAATTACTGCTGGGACGACGATCTGATGAACTTCGCCAGGGTCATGTTCAGCGGCACCATACTGCTCACCTTCCCGATCGAGTGCTTCGTTACGCGCGAGGTAATGTCTCTCCCAGCCTGTGGTCTTCTCGCGACACTTAAGATCGGACAATTTGAAAGAGTAACCGCGATCGCGTTTACCTGTCGCCGCTTCAGGTGCTCGTGACGGCGATCAAGGGCACGGACGAACTGGAGGGACACGAGGCTTACGTGCCTAACTCGGACCGCAAGTACCTGATAATCACCTTGACGATAGTATCCATGGCATACCTGATCTCCATGTTGACGGACTGCCTCGGCGTCGTCCTCGAGTTGAACGGCATCCTCGCCGCGGTGCCGCTCGCCTACGTTTTGCCCGGTCTGTGCTACCTCAAGCTCGAGGAGGGGCCCGTCCTCTCGTCCAAGAAGCTCCCGGCGCTCGGCCTGATGACCGCCGGTATTCTCGCCGCCGTCTCGGGCCTCCTGTTGATGGTAATCAACAGTTCATCCGGTACCTGCTTCCACGGCAAAATAATGCCGTACTGCGTCGAGAATTCGACGACGCTGCATCTCGGCGTGACCACCGTGTCCACCGACAACTTCGTCCTCGGCACGGAGCGCGGGATCTAAGTTCAACGGATAAGCACAGTAAATCGCTAGCTTAATCGTAAGTCCTGCCCGATTGTCGAATGAAAGTATAGCGTGATTAATTTTGCGGGACAAATAACGCAGGCATTTGAATTGCTATACAAGTTAAATAAGATGGCAGTACGTATGTATGTGTAACCAAATCGAGAAAAATCGGGATTTGATATCGGCTCATCGTCAATAGCCCGCATTTTGACGCAGCGCGTCCGATATATAATTGTTTCGAAATTTCCAAACAGTTTCAATTTTACTGCAAAAGGAAAAGAGGAAGTTTTCACGGGATCCGATAGAGCAGGATTTTATCCGCGAATAGACAAATGTATTATTTCAATGAGAGTATCCGATTATAATACCGTGTCGTTAAAGGGAGAATAAAACTGCGGAAACCAGTTGCGAAGCAGATTTAAAGAGAATAGCGATTATGCTATTGTAATGTCCTAATTGATCTCACATTGCCGAAACATTTTATGCTGTAAAGTATACTTTAATATTAAATATGTCCCAGTGAGCGCCAAGTAATAGTTACATAAATCGATATTATTATTTCCTACTCAACAATATTAACGTAATATAGCACGCATGTTACGTTGCTGAGTAGGAAGTTATGCACTGAGAAAAATGTCCGATTAAATACAATCGGATAATTTAATTGTATAATAACAAACGGATATATCCGATTAAATTGTATATTCGATGAAAAATGTGATCGGTTTTTCAATCAAATTTAATCGCGAAACGCAATCGGAAAAATTAGCCATCGGAAACACTATTTAATTGGTCTATCCGATGGGAATTTTTCTCAGTGTGATATTGATGTTACGTAACTTGGTGTCTATTAGGGTGGGACGTGAATTCCCAGCAAACACAGAACATTGCTGCAATGTTGCTACAATGTTGCAACGTTGCCGTGAAGTTGCTGCGGTGTTCTGTGTTTGCTGGGTTCATAGGAAACAAGATGGAACGCTACGATTTATGTTATCGACGGGAAGTATTGAATTACGTTAATACAAATAATGTACTGTTCCCTCCACGATTTCATTCCGCGATATGATTGGCAAATCATATCTCGAGCGCGCGATTATCGCAATATAAAATTAATGCAATACGGGATTCGAGCTTGCGAGCGAGAAATCCGAAAAAAAAATTGGCAATAGGTATATCGTCGTTCTTTCCGTCATTTAGCGAAGTGTATAGACCTCTGAATGTTTATCGCAAATTTACCGAGTCACAGGAAGCAATTTTAAGCTTTCAAGTTAGCCGTGTGCACAACAAGCTTGGGATTCACGACTGAAGAGGATTAATTAACTCAGCGCGACACGCATTATGTTCAAGTGGAACAAAAAAGGTCATGATCTAGTTAAAATGGAATTGAAGTGACTTTCAATAATTTCAATCCCATATTGATGTCACCGTGACTTCATGTTCCGCTTAGATTAGAATTTCAGAATTTTAATGTACCAATCGAAATAATTATCAGACTTCTGATATTATTATTATTATACTATAATATAGAGGGGACTCTTATATTTTGTCCTGATAAAGTACCGCGAGTAAGGCTCCAACAGGGGAGGGGGGGGATCACTGTGGTTATAAAATGCGCGAATTAATAGCGAATTCGATTGGTTGCACTACCCAAGTAGAACGAGTTAATCACAAAAACGTCAATGTGACATGAAAATGATGAATTTTACGTCATAAAAGGATCGACATCAAGATTTACTTTGCACAGTGACTGATTTATGACATGCTGTTTTATGATATTCGTGATGTGCATAATAATTTATCATTACAGATTACATGATCTCAGTCATATATAAATTTATTTTTAATGTATAATATTTAATTAACTTTGCTTTGTAAAACAAGATCGTTTTTACAACATTTTGATGTCTTAATGATGTCACAAATAGGTGCTCTCGGTGGGCTATTTTGACGTCACCATGACGCTTAAAAAATGATGAAAAAAGATTATGTCATCCTGATGTTTGCGTGACTAATATGTTCTACTTGGGTAGTGCGCACCGAGTGCGCACTAAGGTCAGTTCATAGTCAATTTTGAATACATGTTCAAAGAGTGTTTAGTCAAAAAATGATCCGTATGTATGCTATACAGATCGTTTTACTGGCTGCGAAGTATTTCAAGAAATATTTAAGACGATTCCTTAATATAAAAATGGACCGTAAACGAGCCTTAGTGTGCACTCAGCGCGCACTAGTGTGCAAGCAACCAAATTCGCTATAAGAAATATATTATAATTTTAAAGAATTATAGTTATTGCGATTAGAGAGAATTACGACTAGGCAACTGACGTATAGAATACGTGAGCGTATATTATATTTTTAAAAAGATGTTGAACAGATAAATGGTTTATAAATGAAAAGATATATGTATATGTGCGTACGTACATTGTATATCTATGATGTATACACTACATATGCACACTACGTTTATATTTTTTCGTCATACGGGACTAATATCGAATGTCGAGAGTAAGAAGTATACAAACGGATCTTTATAAGACATACTTCGACGATTAGCAGCGTAAGGCTTTCTTCGCAGCGTTTTATCTTACCTCAATTCCTGACGTGCTCTGCGTTTTTTTTCTTTTTTAAGAAAGAGAGAAAGCAACACTGACGATAGGTTTTTAGTCTTTTACGAGACAGACTCGTGTAATCGTATTCAAAAGTATTTTCTTGCATAAGGTTTTTCGACACGATTAAGCTCGCGTATGGTTTGCGATATAAAAATATATAGTAGCATAAAATAGGCGAAACATGACGATGACATGTGGCACACACTGGTACAATCATCGCTCAGATTTTCTCTTGGTAAAGTTTAAGTTACTCGGCACTCGGAAAAAGATGGAAAGATCTCGTTATATGTGTCTTAATCTAATTATATCCAATTCTAAAATCATCAATCTTCAGAGGTCTGACACTTTTGTTGAATATTCAACGTTATTATCTATTGAGATCTAATTATGTTCTCTTAGGACATTTAATTTTAGATTCAGTTGGATCTCAACAGCTAACGTCGAACATTCAAGGAAAGTGTCAAATCTCTGAGGATCTGACGATTTCGAGAATTAGATCGTAAGATATAATTAAACATTACATGATGTACAATGATTGAAACATGTATAACGAGATTGTTTTCCCATTTTTTCCCGGGCAGATGGATTTGAGGGATTATATTGTATTTTCATATCTTAGAAAACAAAGGTAGAAAAGGGGAGCCGAGGTAGCGTACCAAAAATATTATACAAAACCACCGCAGTGGAGACACGACACAATCGTGGGGGCGGAAGTAAATTTCTGCGGCCCCAAATAACGCTTTACAGAAGACAGATATACTCGACGAGAGAAAACAAAAAGACCACACACAAGAGGAAAGTATTTATCGCGCATAGTTTGCGTACCATAGCGTGTAAGGCAAAAAGAATCAAACATGTTTACCTGTTTACGTATATTTGATGAATATAGAGAAAGGATATATGAAGAGCCTATTTGAGATAAGAAACTATAAAGAGCCCAAGTTGGTATATTATAGGAGCAGCCACGGCCTAGGGAGAAAACGGGATGTGTATCGGCGGGACACGCGGGAGAGATTCATACGTATACAAAATATGTATACGAGACCAGGCGCGCGCACGTTGTCACGCACGTACACACCCGGCTGCTTCGTGCCACGTGGTGGGAACAGAAGCCTCGTTCGAGCGACAAGACTTGCATATATATATATATGTTACATTCGTAGCGATTATTATATACGTGTATGTACACGCGCGCCGTACATTTTGGCGGTATTCTTTATATAAATATATGTATAATTTAACTGCGTGGCAAAATAGATGTGAACCTGTAACACGTGCGAGAGAGAGAGAGGGGGGGGGAGGGCAAGATTCGCCCGTGCGTTTCGCGGAGAAGCTGCCCTTGGAGCTTCACACTCGCCCCGCCGATCTCTTTTCGATCGCCCGACCGCTCGTAAAGCACGACCTGACGGTTCGATAAACATTACGTGGTTGTGACAGCTTTACAGTATACTGCGGTAACGTTAAGATTATCGCTATTGATTTTAGATACCGAGACGCGAGCGCGCGAGTTACGACCGGACGTAAGTAATGGAGCTACGCGCGTGGACACGGGTAGCCCCTGCAATTGGAATGTGCGCGGAAGAAAGACCCGAACTTTTCCTTTCGCTCTCGTAACGTGACGTGCCCGGTATATATTAATAATTTAAGACGACTCTCTGCAGACAAATAGGACACGTAAGCGACTAATAACTCCGGGCTGTTCTGTGATATTATATTATTTTTACGACGCTTTCCTTATCACTTGCTTCTATAAAGCTCGCGCATGGAGAGAGAGAGAGAGAGAGAGAGAGAGAGAGAGAGAGAGAGAGTTTTTAAACTACGTTTGGTGTCTGGTGCGCGACTAAAACCCGGTTTCACCAAACGTCGCTTAACTTTGATCTTAGTTTAATACATTTTTGTCTCTTTCCAAAGTAACAGTTGGAAAGAGACAAGGAACGAATTAAATTAAGTTTAAAGTTAAGCGATGTTGGCGAAATCGGGCCTTAACTTTAATTTTAGCTTAATTCCCTTTTGTCTCTTGCTAAAGTAACAGTTGGGAAGAGACGAAGAACGAATTGAACTGAACTTAAAGTTACACAACGCTGGTGAAACTGGGCCTAAAAATCAAAAGCTTGACAGACTGAACTTTTTACGCTTGAAGACGTTAAATTTGACAATTTCGCGTTGCATGACGCCGCCGTAGTGAAGCTAGTATCAATCTGTATTGCGTCCGTGAAAGACGTTACAAGTGCCAGCTCCGACGAAGGAGAGATGGGAAATTTATTAGACTAATTCTATCTTAATGTTCGTGAATACGTGAACGCATTACTTATGACTGCTCTATTGATGTTAAATAAACATGAATTTACACACGTTGAATGGCACACGCATAATGGTATAGCCGAGGAGAACGTTTCGGACAGGAGCCCCCAGATATTCTTTCATTTAAATAACATTGGCATTTAGACAAGAAACAAACGTCTCCAGCAAAAGTTTCACGTTATCAAGCAGAAAACGATGCTGACTTGCAAACTTTGCCCGCATGCATTTTTCATAAGGTACTCATTTTAAATGGAACACGATATATATTCCTATATAAAAAAAAACTTTTTTCACTCTGAATATTCAAATATTTATGTAAAGCTATAAAAAAACGTTCGGATAATTTATGGAACTAATTTACGAGAGGGGAGGGGGAGATTTCAAATATTGTATGATTTTGATGAAACGTGAAGTATATATTAAAAATACAGATTTTTCTATAATTTTAACGTGACCGTCTTCATACATAAAATAACAAGATAAATCGATCGATACTAAACATGTCGAAAAAATTCTTTCATAAAGTTTGTGTTCTCGACATATTTGGGGGTCGCGAAGGGAAGACACCTTCTCCTTACGATGTACATGTATAAGAACGCAGCTTACCATTCGTACAATATTAATTCTACGTAATTTTATATTAACTTACTGTTTCCCCTACAAACGTTAGCTTTGATTTAAAGCGTTTCGTCTCCGAGCGCAATTTGCGAGGAGTTTGGAATTAGCTGAAGCATTAGGAGAAAGAGATGACGTCTCCCCCCCCCCCCGCCCTC